GTGAGACCCTGCCTCAAAATAGACAAACACAAAGCAAAACAAAACAAAGTATAATGCAGGGATTTACTCAGTGTTTCTAATGTTTGTTGTTGAATGAAAGTGATCTTATTCCCCAGAATGTGTAATTACAGATGTGGCTTTTGGCAACCTTCGAGTTGTTTAAAGGGAAGGATAGCCTGATTCCCTTATTTCATCAAAAGTTCCTAGTGTAAAAAACTGAAAAAAGTACATAAGATCCAAAATGTACAATAGATGTGGTGAAAGAGAAAGAAATTGTTCAAAAGGAAAGAACAACTGGGATGGGGGAAAGGAGAAAAGAAGGAAGGAAAAAAAGATATGTATGTATACACAAGACAGCTAAGGTAATCGCATACTAATTTCTATTAGTTCATTGAGAGAAACAGTGCTTATGCTGTTTGATCAATTTTGCATACCTATATCTGATAATCTGAGCAACTACTTTGAAGATAACATTATGCAATATAATAACCATTGTTAATTTCTTAGCATTTTGTTTTGAAATTCTCTATCACTTTTATTGTTTATTTATTTATTTATTTATTGGTACCAAGAATTGAACTCAGGACCTTATGCTTGCCAGGGAGGCACTTGTATAGCTGAAGTATATTCCTGGTCCTCTTTTTCTTTTTTTTATTCTCTTTAAAATAAAATAAAATTTCCTTTTTCCCTGTTAAACTCTTTGCTATAACCAAAATCCTGCTTGACATACTTTTTGTGTTTGTTTGTTTTGTTTGCCTTTTTTTTTTTTCTGGTACCAGGGATCGAACTCATGACCTTGTGCTTGCCAGGCAAGTGCTGTGATGTTGAACTAAACCCCCAGCCCCTTGACATACTTTTTTACCCTGTTCTTTTTGTTGATCATTAATGAAGATCACCGATCACATATCACAGTTGGGAGAACCTTACAGATTATCTTGGTCAGTGACTTGTTTGCTGTTTATTTAAAGAAGCTGTCTCCTTAATTTAAACAGAAACTTAAGCAAAACACAAACTCATAAAAAAGCAATGAAAACAAAAACCTGCTTATCTAATTAAGGTGGAGACGACAAGCCCAGAGTCCTGGTCACTTAACATCTCAGGACTAGTTTCCAGAAACAAGTACGGACCTTCAGACACTGCTGTTTAATGGTATAGCTTTAGGTTGAGGCTCCTTGATATTGATTTAGATTTTTATATTATAATTTGGGGAATGAAATAAAAAAAAATAGAAGATGCATAGCTGTATCTTACTTGGGGAATCTATCTGAAGAAATATTTATTAAACATTTATCTGGGAGTTTGGCTAATAACAAAATGTGACACAGCTCTTAATATAGATAACACCAGAAACTGCATTTTAATAGTCTCATGGCTTATATGTGTTTATGCGCTTATAGTGTTCACGTTTTCCACGTGTCTGTGTCCATATCTGAGAAGCCATAGAATAAACGCTTAATTTTAAAGTCTCAGTTTCCATAGTGAACCTGAGAGTCGAATTCAAGCTGAGATCAAAGCCGGATGAGGCCCTCGCACACAGCCAGAGCCTCCTGTGAAGGTGTGTGGCAGCCCTATTTGTGCACCTTGAGTTCCTGGAACACTTACTTTCCTCAAACGCGGAAGGAAATGTCAGTCTCTTAGACAAGCTTTTTCTCTCACTCTTGCTGAGAAATCATTTATATTTCATGCACTGTGGCATTCACTGGCATAAAAAAGATCAGAAAGGAAAAGGTGGTCTCATTGTCCGGGTGCCCTTCACAGGGTGGTCTCGCGGCGGGTTAGCTATAATTAGAGTTGATTACCCATACGTATGGGACTTCGACTCATTGATAGCCACTCAAGCTTGGTTGCTGCCCACAGCATTATGATGTCATTCCCATATAGACAGAACACTCACATGCTGCTACGAGGTGAAAAAGCATACCGAAGAAAACAAGTGGAAAATGTGTTAATATTTGATGTTTCTAAATTATATAATATGAACTCTAGTTGCTACTGGAATTTGGAAATGGCATTAATTTCCATTTATTGGAATGCTAGGTAGATTCAGTGGAGTGAAAAATTCCAAAAACAGGTTGAAAAAGAAGTCAAATTTGACTTGGCCATTTCAGTGGAGGTCAAAGGAAGTAGGACTCATTTCAGACCATTGGTGTGCCGTGAGTAAAGATAGGAAAGATGGAATAAACATATTTTCACAGTAACTAAAATGAATTGAACACCTAAACATGGTGGAAGTTGTATTTATTAATTGATGATGATGTTTACAATGATGTCACGATGAGGAACTGATATTATCTTTGTTTACAAATTACAAGCCAGCTGGGCCTGATGATGCATGCCTGTAATCCCAGCACTCAGGAGGCTGAAGCAGGAGGGGCAGTGTGAGTTCTAGGCCAGCCTGGGCTATCTCTTGAGTCCAGGCCAGCCCAAACTACACAGCAAGACCCTGTCTCCAAAAAAAAAAAAAAAAAAGCAATAAATGATGAACCAAAAGAGGTAAAGTAACTTGTATAAGTCTACACAATGAATTATGGAGCTAAGATTTAAACCTGCATTTCTAGGATGCCAAAGTCAACAGTATTTTACAGTGCTCCCTACTGTACTTTGATACATACAGAAAGTAATGGGAAGAATATTATAGTCTGGGTGGGGTCCATGTTGGAGAAAGAGTAACAGCAGCTTGCAGCTTGGGTAGGGAAGGTGGAGTCAGCACAGGATGTAGTTAGCAACTTGGGTACTTTTTCCCCAAGAAATGTTTGACAGTATCTGGAGAGAGGGCTGCTTTGGTATTTAGTGGAGAAGACCAGGGAAGTTTCTAATCACCCCCACTAGTACACGGGCACGGCCCTCACAGCAGAGAATTAATTGACCCTAAATACTGATAGTGCTAGGAAACACTCCTCTCCTCCTTCCCCAAAGTAGATTCATTCTTCCACAACTGATCCATTGTTCCCTTAAAAATCTTTTTCCTCCTCCTGTTTGTCTCTAGACCTACCTTCTGCACTCCACCTGCTTCCCTCCCCTCCTCCCTGGGTGAGAGCAATGACCTCGGGAAGGCCTGCATGCTTATCCCTAGAATATGCACGAAGAAGTTCTCCATGGAAGGGATGGACAGTTCTGACAAAAAGTAAACCTGATCGAGGTCCTCAATGCACCAAGCTCTCAAAGGCTTTTCAGTACCCGAACTAGAGGCTTTGTGTGATCTTCTGTGCTGCGGATCTTTTCCTCCTGTCCTCCTCTCTGTACTTCAGGTTCTTGGAAGGGCTCCTCCTCCTGTCCTCTGGCTGTGGGAACATTTACTCCTTCGTCCAAAAATTTAGTGCTTGTGCTCACCCCACATTCCTCATTCTTTTTATCTGGATAGTGACTCTTCATCTATCAGATTTCAGCCTTCCTCACCCACTCTACTTTCTCAGAAGAAACCACTGAGTTTTTCTCCTGTGGCATGCTTATACTTCTCATATATCTGATCATTGGATTAATATCTGTCTTTCCTGCAGAACTGCAATGCTCATTAAGGTGAGGATTATTTCTCTGGGTTGGCATAATAGCCTTGTGTTTAGTGGTACCTCAGTAAAAATTTTTTGAATTAACCAATAGATGATCACAGTCCTGGGTACTGAGTAGGGCAAAACAGAGGTGCTGAATTCCCCACCCATGGTTGTGGCATGGGCAGGATTGAAAATATTCCAAGGACAAGAAATCTGGGAAAATAAAAAGTTAGGTGGGCACAAGATTTTGATAATTGATGATACAAACCTTTGTAGAACCACAATAAAAGCTATAATTTCTTGAGTGCAGCCTTTTGCCCCTCAGCACGGTCAATATGACTTGTTAAAATACAGACTGTTGGATGACAAGGAGCGTTCCATCCATGTAGATTATAGGCAGCATCAGACAATTATTTATACCTGAAGTTAAAATCACTGCTTTCCTTTCAACCTGAGAAGATGCAGACAAGGTACAGAACATTCTCCTCAGAGCAGCAAACCACTCAAATGCCACTCGGCTAGGAGAACAAGCACTTCCCACATCTTCTCTGTGAGAATGTCACATCCATCTTTCTTAAGAAGCCGCTATTAATTCCTGGGCTTTTTTCTGAAGGAGGTTCCCATTTCAAGACTAAATCTGCTACCATTTAACAAAGATAAATCAATAACAACCTTACCTCAAATTTACTGATGTCTGATGTACCCTAAGACCCTCTAAGTGGCGTGAAGGAAATTGATTTATGTATATATTTATTTGTTTACTCATGTATTGTAATTCAAACAGAGAGTCTTCTGCAGTTTGATTTTCTTCTTTGTATAACTGTCTATAATGATATTTAATATCAGCATTGTATTGAAAATTCAAGTCTCATTGCTAGGAACTTGATTAATTGAACTTTTGCTCTCAATGACAAATTACTTCAGGAAACACCTTCCCTGAAGGCAGTTTATGTTGTTTTATGAAAGACAACAAATAGCTCAATTCTCCATCACCCTCTGTTTAGGGAGGATGTTTATAACTTCATAATTATAAATTCAACCATATAGAATTTTTCACGTGGAATCAGGCCAGGGACCTCTGCTAAAGACATTTTACACCTGCAGTTAGCTCCCTGCCTGTATGTGTCTTCACTCTGCTCCAAACAGATTCTTCCTGCACGTTGGGATTGAAGACACAAATACGTATCAATTCCCAGCTCTTGTAGAATTTAAATTCTAACAACAATCAACAACCAAAACAAACAAGCAAACAAGACAGCCATGATGAAATAAGGGTAAAAATATGAAAACAGTAGAGTTGGAATAAGGAGAAGTGCTGTGACTAAGGAGGTCATAGAAAGATGTGAGTGAAGTGTGTTTTAGTCTGGGAGACTAGCAAAGGCAGCAAGCAGAGCTGGAGCCAGCTTCCGATATTTGGGAAAAGAGAAAGAGCCAGGGTGGGGAGAGCAGAGGGGGCCTCGGTGGGAGGGGCCTGGGGAGGGCAATGGAGGCCAGCAATGTGGTGAAGATCAATCCTCCTATGGCAGGGTGCTGAGAGCCAGTCTCAGGATTTCTAGAAATCTCTTACCGGGAGACCACTGGGAAGGTATTAAGCAGAAACTCGACGTAAACATTTTTAAACCGCAAATGCGATCAAAGTAATTTTATATTATTTGAATTCATTCTAAAGCTGGGTATGGTTGTGTATACCTGTAAACCCAGCACAGTGGGGAGCTAAAGCAAGAGGGTCATGAGCTTAAATCCAGACTAAGCAACTTAGTGAAACTCTGGCTCAAAAGGAAAAAATAAAAGAAGGGCCGGGATATGGCTCGGTGGGAAAGGTCTGGATTCAGTTTCCAGGACTCATCCCTAAGGCAGGATAGGATATTTGTGGAGGCTAAACTTTGCAGGATGGCATTATTGGGGAAAGGAGATCTTCCATAAACTACTGCTATGTTCCGGGCAGAGGTAGTGGTAATATGAAGAGGTTATTACAGTGGAAACAAAGAGACCAGGACGAAGTTGGTGTAACACAGGGCTGATCTGTTACACAACTGGTGGAAGGCAAACAGCTTCCCTACTTCTGTGTCCATGAACTGTACCTCCTAGAACAAAACCCTATTGTCCATGAGGAAGCCCATTCCCTTTAGAATCAAACAACAGTACAGTACTCTCTAGTTTTGCAAAGAACTGAAGTAATTATCCAGCTACTTACTTAGGATTTTATATTTATCCCTAGTAAATTTCTACTTTAAAATTTTTCAGTTCTGCAAAATAGTAAAAACTTTTAGCATCCTAAAATGATCATACACAACTTTACTGCTTCTCCCAGCTTTGCATCATCTGCAAATTTTATTCAAATGCAATCAATGTCCTCATCCAACTCAGATGTAAAAAATATTTATTGAAGTTCAGTTTAGTACAAGCAGTGACAGGATAGTACAAATGCCCTTCTGTTTGACATCACTGCACCATTGCAAACTGTAAATAATAAATTACAGTAGTTAAAAATAGACCTAAATGTACCATCATTGGTCTTTCCAGATTATGGGCATTTTAAGCACTGCATCTGGTTTATAGGAGACAGATATTTGGTCATTTAGTCTTTAATGCTACCCACTTTAGTCCGTTTAAAAAACTCCCTTGCAATTTTAAGAAACAAAATCAAAATTCTTTATTTTCCTTCTAGCTTTTAGTTTAGGACCAAAAGGGAGTAAAAGTGTGATAAATAAAGAAGTTAAAATAATGAATAACTGATCATTTTTTGTTATTTTGTGGAAATTTTATGTGTCTCTTCTTTTGTCTACTAAGAAGCTGAAAAACTATATTATTTAGAGTTTTTAAATTCAATTATAGGGGCTGGGGATTTAGCTCAGCGGCAAAAGCGCCTGCCTGGCAAGCGCAAAGTCGTGAGTTTGGTTCCCGGTACCGGAGAAAAACCAAAAAAAAAAAAAATTCAATTCTATATGTCTAAGAATTAGTTTTCTACTTTATAAGTATTTACCTAAAATGTATCTATAAAAGTTAAATAATGCACATGCATGATAAAAGCATGATTTTATTTTCTAGAAATAAAACTGATGAAATTTCATCTCACTGCAATTTTACAGACTGTGTATTCCCAACCTCTTTTTGGTATCTCTAAAGATTGCCCTTGACAGTCTTGCTTCCCAATTGTGTAGAATAAAAGGCGAAGTGGCTTTCCAAATGGCCACTTTGTAAGTGTTTGCCAGTGTGTAAGAAGTGTTTACAAATGTGTGCACGTGTGCACACCTACCACGTGTTTGTAAGAAGCTTCACATCTGAATTATTTCAGAATGTTATTCCCTGTGGAGTAACTGCTGATTCATGTAAGAAGTTTAGAGTTGGCACTCCAAAACCAGCTTAGTGCTGTCAATGTATAATTCTTAAAACCCTGGCTTGTTGGAATGTTGAAACAATACAAGACAAGGGCGGCCTTAAAGTGTGCATTAAAATGTACTCATAATGAATGACAGTGCTTGAAACATTGGCGTAAAGTGATGAAGTTCCCCTGCGTCTCCACTTTAAACAGCTCTGGGGTAGCAGTATGGTTCACAGCTCCAAAGAGTCAAGAAGTTATACAAGCCCAAGTTTCACCCCTCACTGTAACATCACTGAGAGTAACTCCGAGCTTTGAAACCCCAGGCTGTTTCCTGCTGAGAGGATTTGATAAGGTGATGCACGTAAGGCACTTCAACAGGTGAGTGGAATAGTCTGAGTGATTACTACACAAAGGCTGTTGCTTTTCTTAAGATGGTACTTTCTCCATTCCTCGCTGGCTGTGCTTTTGAAAATGCCCTCCCCACGCTGGCTTGCTGCTCTCAGAAGGAAGTGTTTGTTGAACTGGATGCCTCTGGAGCATCCTCTCTAACTTACTTCTGATTCCAGCCATAGCTACCAGAAACAGTACTGAGCAGACTTGGGCTCACTGTCTGCATTTAGAGTAAAAGGAAATTCTGAAGACTGCACCCCTGTCTCTTGCAGCCTGCCCTGGAGCAATTCTGACAGTGCTGAATCCCCAGCACCTGCTGGCCACTCACACATGTACAACGCAGAAGTACAGGGCTGATAAGCAGGTGAGGTCACTCATGACAGTGGGGCACACAAACAATGGATGGCTGCAAATGTTGTCCCTTGTACTTCTCAGGCAAATGATCCAAGAGCTGGTATAGGTTCCGACCCAAGATGCAACGATTCTGCTAGTGCCCGCTGGATAACTCTTCCTCCTAGTGGTTTTTCCTCTTTCCCTGTTCATCCCGTCAGTGAAAAAATTGTTTTCAGGTCTTTGTCTCAGGCATTGGCTTCAAAGATACCCAGAAAAATGTAACTATTTCCTCTTCCTCACCACTGAGTTCCTGAAAAGTACACTTGAAATATAAAACAAAGGGAAAATTTTACTTTTAGATGCTTTAAAACATCAAGTGGCAATGACTCAAATCAGTGCTTTCTATCCATTTCATATTATAACACATCAAATAGGAACATGTTTATACCCACGTTGAGGTTGTAAGGTGAAGCCAAGAGGCCCACGGCAACAAGTTCCCAGCCCAGGACTCAAGAATCAAGGTGGCAGTGCATCTCTTTGATTGGAGGCTTTGAGTCAAGAAGCAACCGTTGAAAATGAGGACAGCCTGCCATTACAGTGTAGGAGGGTGTGAGTGTATCGGAGCTCACTGACTGGAACGTGTGATCATTTGATCTTAACCTAGCTGACATCTATTTTCATGATAACAAATATGTTAAAATACCTCGTGGTAATGTGCTTCATAAATTGGATGGAGAAAAGCCAGAGATGGTGAGATTAATTAGAAGACTATTGGAACTCAGGTAAAGGGAATATCACGAAGGATTAAGATGAAGAAGTTTCAGTGACTCGTCTGATTCAACATGTCTCATAATATATTCAATTTAAATTCCTGATAAACGTTTGTTTGGAATGTGAGGAAGTAGAGATGGTGTTAAAGAATGGATTCTCCACTAAAATAATAACGGGGATGATAAGAAAATAGTTACAATGAAATAGTGCTATTGTTTTCTGTCATTGGTCTTTTGGTGTTCTTTATGATAAATTGAATTCTAGAAGTGAAATTGAGAGTATTTAAATATATTACTACTCACAATGTTTAACATATTAGTGAGTGGAAATAAACAGTCTTTTATGCTGTTGGTAGGAGTGGAAACTGGTGTGATTGTCTGTAAAACAATTTAATGTATTTTTTTGCTCCAGAAATTCCACATCTAGAAGTTGGTATTCAATTTGCTCTGGCTACCATAACAAAGTACCAAAGATTTGATAGCTTAAATAGTAAAACTTATTTTTGTACAATTCTGGAGGCTAGAAGCTCAATGTCAAGGTGTCAGTAAGGTTGGTCTCTTCTGAGATCTTTCTACTTGGTTTGTGTAGGGCCACCTTATCCCTGTCTTTATACGGTCTTCCTTCTGTGTTTAACTTCCATTCCATTTTCTTAAAAAGACAGCAGTCATATTGTATTAGAGTGCACTCTAATGGCCTCATAATAACCACATTACTTCTGTAATGGTTTTATCCCTGAATATAGTCATCACATTCTTAAGGTTATGGCTTCAACACTTAAATGCTTAGGGTTAAGGCTTTAACACATACCTTTTAAGGAATATAGAATTTAGCTCACCACAGACTATTAAATGCTACCGAATGCTTATTGCAATACTGTTTATAATTGCAAAACAAAAAAAACCTAAAATTTCAGCAATAGGTGTTTGGTTGAAGGAATCACTTTATGTTCCTACTGTGGAAAAAGAGACAATATTTAAAAGAATCAAGTAAGACAACTACATGCCACCATGGGACTATCTCTAAACATACTCCCAGACAGGAAAGGAGTAACTTGCTGAGTAGTACGTAACACTGAATACAGTCTTTGCAAGTAACATATGTTTATATTAACATAGATAGGTGTGAGAACTGCAGGAGGGAATACTATTCATTAAAATGTTAATGGTATTACCTGTGGGAAGCGAGGTACAGTGGAGATGCAGGGGTGGAGTGGAGGTTGTGGCTTTCTTGCTTTGATCTCTAATCTTTGAATAGTGGAATAAAATAAATATTTACCATTTACCATGTACTTAAAACTCTTCTAAATATTCCACAGATATCAATTCATGATTCCTACAGTATCTTTGCACTGTATATTATTATCCTCAAGTTACAGATGAGCACAAGGAGGCACAGAAAGGGAAATCTACCTGCCAGATCCTAGCACCTGTACACTGGCAAGGCTATGAGTGGGTCCCAGGAGTCTGGATTCATCACCTGAATCCTTACCTACTGTTACACTGCCTGTTAATGCTAATGTGCTACTTGTTCAAAAAGGGTGTAAAAATTAATAAAATCATTTATCATTAGGTCGTTTCTAATTTAGACTTCTGACTCAAACAATCTGCCCTTTGTTCTCTTAGACTGAAGGATAGGAAGGGCTGTATACTTTTATTTTCCCTCTAGATGTCAGTGTGATTTACTAGAAAGAGTTGGTCGAAGTGTCTAGCCAGGAAACCAGCCTCTAAGCTCAATTCCACCATCACTAGGAGCTGCACCCCCTAAGTATCTCCAGGCCTCTTTTATGTGGTCAGTGAGGTAACAGCAGCTGCCTGATCCATCCTTCCATTATCATGGTGAGAAGGAAATGGTGTCTTGGTCCCGAAGCTCACTCAAGGAAGCCTGCCTATGAATCTTAGTCGTCATCGTTGGTGAGCACTCCTCACGGATAGGCCAATTTCTGTGAATACATTGGAAGAAAATGCACATTTGCACACCATGATAACATGCAGAGATTCTGGAGCTGAAAACAATCCTATGAAACAACTTGATGAATGCCTTCCATTTGGAAATGAGAGGTGAGATCATCGCAAAGTGAAGGGCCTGCGGGAACTCTTCCAGGCTTTGTCACCTTGCTCACATGCCCACTTATTCACTTCTCCTGTAGTGTATGGCATAAGGTAGAGGGAGGTACCAAAAACATCTACACAGTAAGTGTGGATGGTAAATAAATCAGAAATATTGTTCTTGCTCTGAAAATGTTTCTCAAAAATAAAAAAAAAGATATAATGGGGAGGTAAACACAACTAAGAGCTAAATAATTAGTTTGATAAGGACTCTGCATCTTGTCAAGATGAAGAATGAGAAGGGCAGATTAAAATAATAAGGTCGTGTGATTAAAACCATTGGATCTAGGAGGATTGCTAGAAATCATATAGTGGTTCACAGTGTTTTACAGAGTCCTGGGGGCTGTAGACTCTCACACAGTCAGGGAGTGGTCTCGAGATAGCACATCCTGCTCAATTAGATGAGCTATGCAGTTGTTCTTTTAAATATTGGACTTCCTGAAGGTATTTTCTGAGGAAAGTTTCTGTGCTTAAATGCAGCTTGAAATTTACTCACTGACAGCTCAAATTCCTTTTGTTGATGGATGAATTGTGCCACTTAGCTTTCCCTTACTATGATTCAATCCCTGAGGTCACCAGCTTTGAGAGAGGAGAGGTTCGCTTCTGCTGGTTTCAGACAGGGTCAGTTGACCTGCGGCACAAACCTGTGGTGGGTAGCGCAGCACATCATGGCTGAAGTGTGTGGCAAGAGGAGGCCAGTGCACCTCACAGTGGACAGGGAGTAAAGACAGAGGAAGCGCTGGGCTCGGTGGTGGAGGCAATTTCCTCCTCCTAGGGCTCACCCCTTAATGTTTCCACAGCCCCCTCCCTATAGTGCCACAGCTAGACACCAAATCATTGACATGCAAGCCATTGGGGACATTCCAGTTCTAAATGACAGAAGGAGGAGACTGAGGGTTGAAGGAAAATTTCTGCATTTAAGATTCTGTGGAGAGTTTAAACACCCGCTCCCCTGTACTGGAAGGGAATTGCGACATGTATGTGAAACAAAACTTACAGTAAAGGAAACTTTAAAACAATTCCAAGTCATAAGATAGAAAATGTGTTGTAGTTTTGTGAAATGGTGAAATAATAAGACAACACTGACCATAGAAACTTTTTTTTTTGTTGTGAGTCTTTTATTTTAATGATGTTATGTTTTGAATCAAATTTTAACCCAAATCTCTAATGGACAATGGTTTAAAGAGGTATTGAGTTGGTGCAAAGAAAAGGAGGATTTTGTTCATCAGAAAAGAGGTGAAATGGTTTCCTCAGGAAAAAGCAACGTATTTTGATCTATTTCTTCTTGTCTGATGAAGAGTACACCGTAATTACAGTAGAAACATGACATACAGTTCTACTTTGTCTTGCTCACTTTCACTTTAGAGAGAGATACTTCCCCTTGTCCTCTACAGCTATTAAGGAAATTGTAGAAAATGTTCTCTATAAATACTGTTACCTAAATTCTCTTGAAACTTTTATATCTTTTGTCCTTCTGGACTAAAATCCTTGTGTATTTCGGGCTTCTTAATGAAGATTAAAATGTTTATCTCCTCTACCTTTCAGTATTCTCCAAGTGTCAGTTAGGTAAAATGCTGGGCCAGAAAAAAAGTCAACAGATTGCTTTTGGAAAGTATTTTGCAATTTTATAGCACTACTTGCCAATGAAAATGACTGAGCAAATACCATGCCCCAGTGTAAATATAAACAGAGAATTGGTTTATCTTCTTTTAGGTCATTGTCCATATGGCTGTAAGAGTTCCCAGAGGGCTCTCTAAGCATTGGAATGGGAAATGGTTCAAAATTGCTTGTCATGTCCTTCTAACACAATAAACCAATATGTCAAAGATTATGAGTGATCTGTTAGTGTCTAATGTGGAGAGGATACTTCTCTGGGTATGTATGGTCCTGGTTTTCTAGTATCCCTAAGCCACATTAAATTCATTTGAGAATTGTATCATGATTGTACATATTCTGCCGCAAGAAAAAAGAAAACTCCATTTCAATAGCTTGAAAAATAGGAGTTTAATTATTTCATTCTGGAAGAAGTCAGTATATAGAAGCTCAGTGATTCTCTATGCTTGTATGTGTAGCCACTTGGTCACAAATCAGCTGCTGTACCTGCAGACCTGGGTTCATCTTCCAGGCAAAAAGCAGAAATAAAATGTATGTCGCT